CATTGAGAAAAGAAATAGAGGAAGATATAAAAAAGTGGAAGCACATACCCTGTTGATGGATTAGAAGAATTAACATAATTAAAATGTCCATATTACCCAAAGCAATCTATAGATTCAATGCAATCCCCATCAAAATACCAACGGCATACTTCACAGAATTAGAACAAGTACTTCAAATGTTCAAATGGAACCAAAAAAGACCTCGAATAGCCACAGCTATCTTAAAAAAGAAGAACAAAGTAGGAGGGATCACATTACCAAATTTCAGGTTATACTACAAAGCCACTATAATCAAAACAGCCTGGTACTGGCACAAGAACAGGCATATAGACCAGTGGAACAGAACAGAGAACCCAGAAATGGACCCAAGGCAATATGCTCAATTAATATTTGACAAAGGTGGCAAGAGCATACAGTGGAGTAAGGACAGCCTCTTTAATAAATGGTGCTGGGAAAATTGGACAGCTACATGCAGAAAAATGAAACTAGACCACCAACTTACACCCTACACAAGAATAAACTCAAAATGGATAAAAGACTTAAATGTGACTCATGAATCCATAAAAATCCTAGAAGAAACTGTAGGCAACAAAATTTCAGACATCATACGCAGCAGAATTTTCACTGATACATCACCTAAGGCAATAGAAACAAAGGAGAAAATGAACACATGGGACTACATCAAACTCAAAATCTTCTGCACAGGGAAAGATACAATCATCAAAATGGAAAGGCTACCCACTGTATGGGAGAGCATAATTGCCAATGATATATTGGATAAGGGGTTAATTTCCAATATATATAGAGTGCTCATACAACTCAACAAAAGGAAAACAAAGAACCCAATTAAAAAATGGGCAAAGGAATTAAATAGACACTTCTCCAAACAGGGTATACTAATGGCTAAGAGACATATGAAGAAATGCTCATCATCACTAATCATCAGAGAGATGCAAACTAAAACAACAATGAGGTATCACCTCACACCTGTCAGAATGGCTGCCATCAACAAATCATCAAACAACAAGTGTTGGCGAGGGTGTGGAGAAAAGAGGACTCTAGTACACTGCTGGTGGGAATGCAAAGTGGTGCAGCCACTATGGAGAACAATATGATGTTACCTCAAAAAATTAAAAATTGAACTTCCTTTTGACCCAGTGATCCCAATTCTAAGAATATACCCTAAGAAGCCTGAAACACCAATCAGGAAGAATATATGTACCCCCATGTTTGTAGCAGCACTATTTACAATAGCTAAGATCTGGAAACAGCCCAAGTGTCCATCAGTAGACGAATGGATAAAAAAGCAGTGGTGCATATACACAATGGAGTACTATGCAGCTGTAAGAAAAAAAATCTCTTATCCTTTGAGACTATGTGGAGGGACCTGGAAAGTATCATCCTAAGCAAAACAAGCCAAACAGAGAAAGACAAGTATCATATGATCTCACTTATTTGTAGAATATAATGAACGTAACAGTCTGAAGAATGGGGTAGTCCCAGAGACATGGAAGTGCAGTACAGACTGACAATCCCCAGAAGTGGGGGTGGTGGTGGAGAGATAAACCACAGAACTTATATGCATGTATGCATGAACAATGGACGTGGACAACAAAACTGGGGACAGGGCAGGAAGGGAGGGGGAGGGGGGAATCAGTGGAAGAAAAAGGAGAAACATCTATAACAAAAATTAATTAATAAAAAATAAATAAATAAATAAATAAAATTCTTGGATTTCATCCTCACTTACATGGTCAATTAATCTACAAGAAAGGAGGCAAAGCTATAAAGGAGGTAAAGAGAGTCTCTTCAATAAGTGATGTTGGGCAAACTGGACAAAGACATGCTAAAATAAAACTGGATCACTTTCTTACACCATATACAAAAATATACTAAAATTAATTAAAGGCTTAAATGTAAGACTTGAAATCATAAAACTCCTATAAGAAAACAGGCAATAAACTCTCTAACATATTTTCTCTGACATACCCTGTTGGGTAAGGGCAACAAAAGAAAAAGTAAACAAATTAAACTACTTCAAACTAAAAAATTTTGCACAGCAAAGGAAACCATCGATAAGAGGAAAAGACAAACTACTGACTGGGAGAATATATCCACAAATGATACATTTAATAGAGGGTTAATATCCAAAATATATAAGGAACTCATACAACTTAACACCAAAAAAAAATCAAAAAAAAAATCTAACAATCTGATTAAATACTGGGCAGGGGACCTTAATAGACACTCTTCCAATGAGGACCTACAGAAACAGACATATGAAAAGATGCTCAACATTACTAACCATTAGGGAAGTGCAAATTAAAACCACAGTGAGATATCATCTCACACCTGTTAATATTTGTCATTAAAAATCGACAAGTGCTGGCAAGCATGTAGAGAAAAGGGAACCCTTGTGCAATTGGTGGGATCCTAAATTGGTGCAGCCACTCTGGAAAACAGTATGGAACCCTAGCCGGTTTGACTCAGCGGTTAGAGCATTGGTTCAGGGACAAAAGGGTCTCAGGTTCGATTCCCAGTCAAAGGCATGTATCTAGGTTGTAGATTCTATCCCCGGGCCTGGTTGGGTCGTGTGTGAGGCAACCAATCAATGTGTCTCTCTCACATTGATATTTCTTTTTTTCTCTCTCTCTCCATCCCTGTCTCCCTTCCACTCTCTCTAAAAAAAAATAATAATAATAATAATAATAATAATAAAAGAAAATATCCTCAGGTGAGGATTAACAAAAAAAAAGGGAACAGTATGGAGGTTCTTAAAAAAATCAACATTACAGCTGCCATATGACTCAGCAATTTCACTTCTGAGTATTTATCAGAAGAAAACAAAAACACTAATTCAAAAAGATGTATGCGACCCTATCTTCACTGCAGCATTATTTATAATAGCCAAGATATGAAAGCAACCTATTGATAAATAGATGAATAAAAAAGTTGTGGTACATATATACAATGGAATATTACTCAACAAAATAAAGAATGAAATCTTGTCACTGCAACAGTATGAATGGACCTAGACAGTATTATGCTAAGTGAAATAAGTCAGATAAAGACAAATACCATATGATTTCACTTACATGTGGAATCTAAAAAAACAACAACAAAACAAGTGAATATAGAAAACAAAACAGAAACAGTCCCACAGATATGGAGAACAAGCTGATAGTTGACAAAGGGGATGGCATGTGGGAAAAATGGGGAAGATACATACATGTGTACGCACATAAAAATCACCACAAAGTTCAAACCTATTTCAAAGCAAGTAAGAGGAAGCTGAAAGAAATATTGACATTCTGAACTCTGAAAATGGAGATGTTTAGATGATATATGTCCTTATGGAAAAGTAAATAAACAAGTATAGTATCCACCCTTGGATTTCAAAATAGAAAACAAAGAAGCAGGGGTGGTGGGGGAACCGCCCTGCTAGGGCAGCTCTGGGAGATGGGAGGGCCTGGCCCAGGAGGTCAGAGGGGTCTGAGGGCAGTGCCTGAACATTCACCCCAGGGGGCCAGTCTCAGCTTACTGTGAAAAGGTCTGAATTAATGAGTTAAGATATCCCTGTCTGTGGTTCACGATGCAGACCTTTTGATAACTACCCCAACTCTTCTTCTGATCATTTTTAGATATATAATTGATAATCCTCAGCCCCTGAAGGAAGCATCTGAAACAGAGAAGTTTGAGGGTTCTCCTAGCCTGTGTCATGGCTGAGATGAAAAATTGTGTGAGGAAGAGCACTGTCACTGTCACTGGGAACCTGTCTTCTGGCTTTATGAAACAGAGAAGGCTCTCAAGACACCTTAAGATGAGAGGATAGAGAGGCCCAGTAGCCTGCAGGATGCTGTTGCCAAAGCCATCTTGCCTGGGATTTCAAAATCAGAACTTAGGGTTCTTTAAGAAACAGAGTTAATGTGTGAACTTTTTAGGGGTGGAGTGTTGAGAAAAAGAAAACTGTTAATTTTTGACTATAAAGTTTCATAGGTGGTGAGGTAGTGAAAAACGGGTAAAAATGGGGAGAGGGGGTAAAGGGATCTGGATGGTGAAATGTGAGATACAACATAATGGGTGCTAGTTTAATGAACCTGTATGTCTTTTCTTATTAGGTTAATAAAGAGCAATGTGGATTATTTGGGTGAATGCCTATTATTTTAGGAGAGAGTACAGAGCACAAATGTTATGGTCTCCTACAAGATTTACCAAGGTGCCTACACCAAAGTTGGAACATTTTATTGACTCATCTCATCATAGTAAGGGGCCCACTATGTTGTTTATAAGGATAATTTGATATAGTAGTTTATGTAATTTATATAAAGGCATAATCTTTCTCTTTTTTTAAATGTTTTTATTGATTTTTTAGAGAGAGAGGAAGGGAGAGATAGAAACATTGATGTGAGGGAGATACATCAATCAGCTGCCTCCTGCACAACCACTACTGGGGACTGAAACTGCAACACAGGCATGTGCTCTGACCGGGACCTCTCAGTCCATGGGGCGATGCTCAATCCACTGATCCACACTGGCCAGGTGAAGACATAACCATTTAAAATATACTATAAGATCCTGATTTTTCAGGAAAGCTTCTAGAGAACACTTCATAAAATGAATCTTTTGGTAAAAGAATTCACAGGGTTAATTTGATCTTTTCTGAATATGCAAATTTTCATTATCTATCAAGCTGATATTTTTTTCATGTCCCAAGGGCACCAAATGAATATCGAACACCTGCCCTGGCTGGGTGGCTCAGCTGGTTGGAGTATCATCCCGAGTACCAAAAAGATCTCAGGCTCCATTCCTGGTCATGGCACTTACCTAGGTTGCAGGTTCAATCACTCGTGGGGGAGTGTGCAGGAGGCAACCAAGTGATGTTTCCATTGATGTTTCTCACATCGATGTTTCTCTCTCCCTTCCTCTCTCTAAACATATCCTTGGGTGAGAATTAAAAAAAATAAAAAATACCAGCACCTGCCACTTGCTTGACTCCTCACCTGGGCACCAGAAATCCTGATCCAAGTTCTTCTCCCTTCCTGCTGCCAGATGCCCGTTTTCTTCCAGTGAGAGGGCACCCTTGGAAACAGAAAATGCATTTCTCGCCTTCCTGGCCAGGTTCCCAGTGGTCAGAGACACCAGGCCTCTTGGCTGAGCTCCTGGGCCCCTCTCAGCCTTCAGTTCCTCGGCATCCTCCATGGAGTCAGCGCTCCGGGAGCTCAGGAGCCTCATCCGAGACATGGAGCTCACCTCTTTCATCCTCATCAAGCGGTCAGGGTCGGCTCTCCTAGGGGGAGAGGCCAGTTTCTCTTGTAAACTTTCAATCACTTTGGAAGTACTTCTGAGCCTCTTTTCTGAGCCTGCCATACTCGGAGTCCTTTCTATAAAGTGGAACAAAGTGGACCTGAAAGGTGGTTTAGTCCTCATGTCCTTGTGATTGAAGGGCTTGGATTCCAGGTCAATGGGCTGAGACTCGGGGTCGGCAGCATTGCTGGGGACGGCCCCTTCTACACCTGAGCACTCAGAATTCCATGGAGCCTGTGAGCCACTGTCCCTTTCCCCTACAAACAGAGGGCTTTCGGTCCAGCCACACTTTCTCCTGCCATAAAAGGCATCAGTGGACACTGTGGGGTCGCCCGGCTGTGCTGGACTGGACGCTGGTTCCTCCCTAGGGGACACCGACCTTCGGGCACTGCCATCAGGCTCAGGGGGCTGGTTATGTCCCGTTCTCCTGGTGCCCGGCAGCAGGGACTCCACAGCCACCTCAATGCCCAGAATCCTCGCAGCCCTCACTTGAAGGGACTCATTTGGGGGGATTTCTATTGCATGTGCTTCACCTGAAGACCCATCCACCTTACTGGCACTCCACTGTTGCGCTGGGGTCAGCCCCATGGACCTTAAGTCTGGTGCTGAGAGTCCGAGAGCTTTGCTGGTAAGAGAGAGTGGGACCACCGTGCTCCTCTCCTCCCCACCGCTCGGCTCCAGAGGGGCTGCTTTGCTCAGCTCCACAGACTTTAAAACACTGGGGAATTCCTGCTTTTCCTGGGGCTCCCTCAGTTCAGCTGAATCGGATGAGGACACAGTGCCACTTGACCTAGAAGATGTCATTCTCTTCACAAGACCTGGGCTGACTGCTAGTTCTTTTATCCTTTTCCCGACCTCCTGGTTTCTCCTCTCTGTAATCAAGCTTCTCGGTGTTGACAGCAACACGCCACCTCTGCTGTTCTCCACCTGTGAGGGGCCTGGGCACTGAGGACGGGCACCCTGGTGGCAGGTGACAGGCTTCTGCTCCTCACTCCAACTCTCAGACTTACTCTTAACTCTTCCTGACCTAAACGCAGGCTCCTCCGGCACCAACCTCCTCGGCAGTTCCTCCGCTCCTCTTTCCTGGCTGTCTTTCCTGAAGACCAAATTCTTGAGTGTGCAGTCAGCATGGCCTTCTGGCTGCCATTCTGTCTCACTGTCCTCACTGCCGCTGCTGCTAGGACTGCTCTCTTCCTCTTCCTGAAGCTCCTTATTAAAACTTTCTAACTGACTTATCAAATCCCAGGGACGACGGCTAACTGGTTTTAAAAGAAACTGACCAAAGAGCTGTTGACTATTGCACGGACCTGCGGTTGCCCCCTTCACCACCTCGCCTCTGGGCACAGGGCTGGCTCCACTCCCATGGTCATCCACGGAGGGCTGACTCTGGCCCACTTTTGGCACAGGGGCCTGATTTGTGAATAAGGGAGTCCTTGAAAAAGCACTGTAGCTAGATGGGTTGAGGGACAGTTGACCTTTTGGGTGATGACCATCTGGCCTCTGGTGTTGGTGACTGGAAGCTAACGCCATATGCATCTGAGCTTCCGAGGCAGTAGGGTCCAGAAGTTTTGGAGTCAGCACTGCATTAGGCGACCCTCCCAACTTCTCAGCAGGGCGGGGCTGCAGGCTTTTAGATTCTTCCATGAAAGTGGTTTGTGTTTGCTGATCTCTATACTGGTGCCCTGGCCATGAGCCAGAATATTGCAGTACTCTGTGTTTCGTGGGGTGAATGAATCTGAGGTCATCTGTTTGTTTGTCTTCTTCTGGTTCCCCCAGATCTTGTTTTTGGATCTCTGTTCTCCCAGCCATGCTTCCTGTGAGAGCTTGCAGCTCCAGGTCGGTGGAAGACATGCTCAGCAGACTTTGTTCTTGCAGAGCCGTGCTCTTATCAAGCTCATGCTTCTTATCAGCACTCTGTTTTAAGTCATTGTTGTTTGTATCTATCTCTGGCAGATGTGATTCTGATTTCACTGGGATGGAAACCAAACAAAATATCGTCTCGTTCATTTTTTTCTTTGAACTTTTCTTGGTCTGAATCCCAGTTTCAAACTTTTTGAGCTTGGTTCGAGTTTCACAGGTACTCTCACCCTGTGGGTTTGGGGAGGAGACTTGGCTTTCTGCTTGTCCATGCTGGCTGCCTCTCACATCAGGCCACTGTCCTCTCATAAAACAGTGGTCTCTTTGGTCAGGAAAGCCACCATTTTCTCCATCCCTGGGGAGCTGGCCCCACAGCCACCGGGGGCTGGCATGGGCAGGGCCTCTCTCACTCCCTGAAAGGGGCACGGTGCTCTGTGGGTTCAAAACAGCACCGTCATGGTGCGTGTTTCCATGAGCTGGTTCCAGGGCAGAAACTGGACTGGAGTCGTACAATTTCTCATCCACCTTTGTTTCTTCACAGAAAGCCTGGGGTTTGGCCAGTTTAATATGTCGTATCCGTGGGTCATCAAAGGGAATATACTGAACAGAGCCGTCGTAAGCAGTGATGGGATGAGACTCTTGTGGGAACTTCTGAGGAGAGAGCGGGCTCAGACCATACTCATTTCCAGTCCCAAGGGAACTAGAAGGAAGCTGACAACTGGCAGCAGCCTCCTCAGCCAGATGACGGTGACCATCACACACATGCCTGGGTGCCGCATCCTCCCAGTAGGGGTTAGTGCTGTGCTGGGGTGGGGACCTGTACGATGGTGGAGGCACGTACACTGGAGGTTCCAAGCCAGACTCAGGCAGGCTGAGCTCCTGCCTGGGGTCGCTAGTTTTGGTCATGTAGGAAACACTCAGGTCTGTCTGCTGGCTGTCCAGATAGTCGCTGTTTTCCACTCCTCCCCTGGAGTGTTGGTGGGAGTCATAGGATGGAGGCTTGAGGGGTCTCCCAAATTTCGGCCATGGTAAAGGGACCAAGGAGCCACTCTTCTCGGGGTTCCTGGTGGATTCCAAATTTGGCACACAATTTGGAGGGTAAAATGGCATTTTAGGGACACTTGGTAAATGCCCATCACTTAATGGAATTTCCATGCAACTGAGGCTCTTGGGAGAGAGAACTCTAGGCAACGACTGGGATTTCCCTTTGCTTTGGGAATTCAACACGTGTTCTCCTCGCATAAATGGGTACAGATCCTGAAACAGTTTCTCCCCATCACCATCAGACATCTGCCTTCCTAATTTCCTTGGCTGGTTCCAACATTCCAGGCTAACATGCTGCCACTTAGCAGGACCCGCCAATCTCAGCTCTTCTTCCCAAACCATCTTCTTCATCACATTCTCTGTCCTTCCTCCAACTTCCCATGAACCCTCTCTCGTGTGGACCGGCAGACTGTGGGCCTGGGCCACTCCTCTGACTTCCAGGTCTTCTCGGTCTCTTGGACCCAGCAAGCCACTGACCTCCTGCTCTCTTCTCCAGTAGGCGTGGTTGTGACCACTTTGGTGCTGAGAGGACCACGCTAGCATGGGTTGGTGATAATACCTACAAAATAAAGAGGCACAGAAGTTACACCAAGGGAGAAAGCACACACTGCTTCTGTGACTGATGATCCAAGTCAAATGTGGGTCAGTACTTTTGAAAAATAGATTCTCAACCAGAGTACTTGTCAACTTTAAAGAAAACACATCCCACTAATTATGGCTGGAAGGCAGCCATGTGTTTTGCCATCCAAGGGCCTAGGAGTGGCAGCAGCAGGCTGCCCACAGACGTGGGGACACTGGTTATACTTGAGAGATGCCAAGGCCCTTATAACTGAATGCCCAAGGGGACAAGGGTAAAACTGAGAGCAATGATTCTCAAGTGTGGTCTTGGGCCACTGGGAGTCCATTTCCAGCCAGTCCAGAACACTGAGTTCTTGGGGAGCAAGTCTGGGAACTTACTTTTCACAAACCCCACCCTATAGCAGTGGTTCTTAAACTTCGACGTGTGCAGGAATCATGAGAGGGTTGCTAAGGAACAAAATTCTGAGTCCCATCCCCAATTTCTGATTTAGCAGGCCTGGTGGGGCTCCATAAGGTACATTTTAAATTATTATTTAAGTTGTAGGTGTATAACATTATAATTCAACATATAGTATACACTATAAAGTCATCACCCCCAAAAGTCTAATTATTATCCATCACCATACAACTGATCCCATCCCCAACTCTCTTCCCTCTGGTATCCACAGATCTGTTCTCTGTATCTATGAGTTTGTTTTTGTTTTGTCTTGCTTGTATATAGAAACAATGGGATACAATTGCATTTTTTTTTTTTAATCCTTACCCGTGGATATGTTTTCATTGATTTTTAGAGAGAGGAAGGGAGAGCAAGTGAGAGAGAGAAACACTGATGTGAGAAAGAAACATGGATCAGTTGCCTCCTGTATGCACTCTGACAGGGATCAAACCCGCAACCCAGGTATGTGCTCTGACCGGGAACCAAACCCACAACCTTCTGGAGGACGAGACGATGCTCCAACCAACCAAGCCACCCAGCCAGGGCCAGGAGGCTGTATTTTTAACAAGCACCCCAGAGTAGTCTTCCCTTCAGACAATGTGGGAAAGACTCCCAGGACTGACTCTGAGACTGACCAGAGGAAGAGGGGCTCTGTTCATTGGTAGAACTCTCTGCCAGGCAGGAAACGGTAGCATAGCCTGGTATAAATGCCAGCCTAGCTCCAGATTGCTGTTCACCACCTGGATGCACATTAGAGTTTCCTGTGAGCCTTTGAAAAATGGCAATGCCCAGGGCCCACCCTCTTATATTTAGATCTAATCAGTCTAGCGTGGAGCCCAACACCAGTATATTTTAATATCTCCTCAAATGAATCTAGCATGCATCCAAAGTTTAAAATCACTGTTCAAATGCAACTGAAGAAAAAATTTGAACACTGTTATAACGTACAGAAATATCAAGTGACTACCTACAAATCACCAGAGATCAGGACTTTCACACAGAAAAGCCATTAACTGAAAGGAAGCTTGGGGCACTCAGTTATTTTGATTAACCACAGGTCAAGCAGAAAACGTTTCAAATCTACAACTGTTGTTTGCTTTTTACATTATAAAAGTAGTATGTATTCATTGTTAAAAATTTGGAAAAATATAGGAAAGTAAAGTCCCAAACACCACTAATAATCAATCTTTCTACCCAGACACAGTTATGTTGATATGCTCTAGTCTGTGTGTATGCAAGGATGTGGATTTTCAAATAGCTTTAGTATTGTGTTTTACGTGAACATTTCTTACCACGTGTAATACAAAAAGCTGACATATCACTGTTCTTATGTGCTAGGTCCATACTAATGTGTTCTAGACAGAAACTCACTGATGCTTCACCAGCACTCCTCTGAGGTAGGACTACTCTCCTATTTTACATAGGAGGAAATTGAAGCACAAAAGGTAACTTGTTTAACACTAACATTTATTGGGCATTTATGCTGTGTCAAGCACTATGCAAAGCATGCTGAACAAATTCATTCATTAACTTTATAACCATTATTTCTCTCTTTTATAGATAAAGAAACAGGCACAGAGAGGTTAAACAACTATCCCAAGTCACACAGATTGTGAGTAGTGGGGAGAATGAATTCAAACCCAAGAAGTGTGACCATAAAGCCCATTCAGTTAGCCACTCTGTTTTATTTCTTCCAATGTAGTGAACAATTCCTGAAGTGCATAATTTAATGTAGTATTCAATCACACATACATGATCTACTCACCCACTGTTGCACATCTATGTAGACTGCACTCTAAAACACTTTGAGAAACACTATTCACAAACACTAAGCATGTCTCGGATTATTATTTAGAATACATCCTTAGAAAAGGAATTAGTAGTAGATCAGGGGCATTACGTTATTCACATTGTCAAATCTGACCTTAGATAAGCCGTTCCAATTCATCCTCCCTGGAGCAGTCGGAAGAGAGCTGGTCTTTCTGAACCTTTCCCATCTCTGGTTGTTATAATCTTTTTTTTTTTTTTTTAGGCAAATCAAAATAACTTCTCATTTGTTTTAATTTGCATTCCTCTGATCACTAGTAAAGTTAATTATTTTCATGTGACTACATGTCATTTGTAGCTTCAAACAATTTCTACCACACAATCCACTTTTCAGCTGACAGCACAGTAGAATGAAGACAATGGGGAACAGGGAGAGGCTTCTAGGCCACTAGTTCTATGCAACCACAGCATGTAAAGGTTGGGGAATAGGGCAGCTGAGGGAACTGGGCTAGGGGAGGACCATTCCCAAAATATAGGCAGAAGGCTGTTCTGAAGGAGCCTAGATGGTAAATGAATAGTAAAAATCTATTATTATCATTATCATTATCATTATTATTATTATGGAATTACTTCTTTGCCTTAAAAAGTGAGAGTAGTTCTTCAAATCCTGTCTCCATCCTTACCTCTGATAACTTGTTAAGCAGCCACTTATAGCAAGGCTGAGTTACAGGTTGAAATAGAAGAAAATATTTAAATCAACTTGAGGTAAAGCATTTGCCACTGAGCAGTCTAAATGTTTCTGCATTTACTACTCATACATCGTGCAAGGTGTCTTAACATTGGGCTTGGTTAAATATCAATTTCTTTGTTGCTTCTGTTGTCATCAAAATCAGATTTTGGGTATTTAGATTTTGAATGCTTAGCAGAGCCCTTTGTGGGTCAGGTTCCATAAGGATTAGTCACTGCATCATGGTAGGGAGGGGGGCTTGCACATCTCCCCTCCGCCCTACCCACCTGGGTGAGCCGGCAATCACAGTCCAGAGCTCTGGAAGCCACAGTCCCTTTGGAAATCCTCTGTGACTCCCATTCATAGCCTGAGAATCACTGTAGAAGATAAACCATCTGAAAGTCCTCAACACCTACTGGCTATATGGTCTTAGACTCCATGCAAAGTCCAAGGTCAAGACAAAATTGGAACTTAGTAAGAAGTTTTGATTGTCACATACCCAATTAAGAGAGAATAAAATAGCCTTGGCAGGTTTGGCTCAGTAGTTGGAGCATTAGCTCCAGGACTAAAGTGTTGAGGGTTCGATTCCCAGTCAGGGGTATATACCTGGGTTGCAGGTTCAACCCCTGGCCCCAGTTGGGGTCGTGCGAGAGGCAATCAATTGATGTTTCTCTCTCACATTGATGTTTCTCTCTCTCTTTCTCTCCCTCTGACCCTTCCACTATATCTAAAAAATCAATGGAAATATATCCTTTGGTGAGGATTAATGAGAGAGAGAGAGAGAGAGAGAGAGAGAGAAATCATTAAGGAATGTGGTCAACGCCCTTATAACAGAGTTTGCTTTCTCGCCTCTATTCTTCAGCTGATGGTGAGCTTTGTATACCACATAGCTTTAATAAGCACAAGTCTTACTTCTTATGGTCTTATGAACATTTTCCTGGGGTGCACAACTTTATGGAAGAAACCACACTATGTGGCTTCTGCTCATTTTCTCAATGAGTAGTCTGGTTTTTCGGTAAACACATGGTATACCTAAATGCCAAGAGGTGGCTGAAATCCCAAGGTGCCACTTGTTTACCTAAGTGCCATGAGCATAATCAAAGGACAAAGACACATATATAGGACAAGAATATAAACAGACTGCAACTACCTACACAAGTAATGTGTTTTCTTCTCCTCCCTAAAATGTTACATTGTCACCTTAACTTTGTCAGAACCACCATATAACTAACCAAATGACTAAGTGTTCTGGGTTAATCTTTTTCTATTTGCGTAATGTCCCTAAATCCCAATTTAAAGAAAACACAGGTCATCTGGAAATTTTTAAATAATCTTTTAAAATTGTGCACACAGCATAGAAAACTATAAAGCTTTTATTTAATGAACATCAATTTTGTACCTAATATGACCCTGGCTTTGATAGGCACAAGTGAACCCCACATGGGGATAGTTCTGGTAAGTAACTTATTCAGCAAGTTATCAGAATAGATATTTTCTGGCTTTGATATATGATGTCTATTACCAGCTAAAATGCTTCAGATGGCTTCAAAGCCAGGAATATATTTTCTAATACCTTTGAGGAAATAAGATGAAATCAAATTTTTCTTTTTAAAAGTGAGACTAATCATTTACATTTTACAAATGTTAACAATGGCACATTTTACAAAGACATGCTGAATACATTAATACAGGGTGGGAAAAAGATAAGGGAAGCAGATGGAATGCGACAGCCCAAATAAATTGGGTTAGCAAGTTCAATGGGACAAGCAGGGTCTTGATAGAGAATTCCTGGGAGAACAGGACAGAGGTGAGCTAGAAGTCACACTTGCAAACAGCTCTGTGCTTTATCACAGAAAACAGATGTGATGCCAACAACATAACTGATAAAAACTGTCTGGAAAATATTTGAAATATAAATATGTGAAAAACAACATGTGTAAAGAAAAACAGGTAAACCTAGTCACTGAATATATAAAAGCTAATGATGAAAAAATTAGGAAACATTTCCATTGGTTCACATGACTCATTTTCAACCACAATATTGCCTTTC